AAGAGAAGAGACGAATGCAAAATGCTTTTCATCATTTGATTCTGCATCTTCGTAGTTCAAACCCTCAGCTATGATTTCAAAGGGAATTTTGCCTGAGTAAAGGCTGAGTGAAACACAGACAAGACTTTCCTCAGTGCCACCTTTAATACAAAGGTCCTGATGCTGATCTGGGGTAAATGAAATGTGGAAAACCACTGAATAAGGCCTGCTAAGGACCTGGACCCACAAATGCAAAACAGCAGAATGCCTGTTTCAAGTAAAATAGCAATCTCCTTGAGTAAAGTTCTGTTATGGTTAAGGTTGTGTTCTGATTATTAGCTTATGGATTTGCATCTATTTTCCATTTGCTGTGTAAAAAGTCGCATGCAACAAAGCATTTATTTGGTAGATGCAGAGAAATACCAGTACCAGTGTTGGTATGACCTCGTGTGGGATATTGTGTGTAGTTCTGGGACCTCTCTTTGGAAAAAGAAAAGATTAATTTATCCTTGAACAGGTGCGGGGAAGGACTGGCAGAGTGATTAGCAGAACAGAGAACCTATCTTAGGAGAGGAGATTAAAAGAGCTTGGCTTGTTTAGCCTAGAAAAACAAAGGTTAAGAGGGGATATGATTACTCTTCATAAATACATTCAGGGTGGGAGGAAGGGGAATGATTTATGTTAGAGGATAATATGGGTAGGAGATCAAATAAGGTGCATCTTGGCCAGGAATAAATTCCTATTGGAAATCTGAAGATGTTTTCTTATTGTTGGAGGAGGGAGGTTTTGGAAAGGCCTTCTGAGCAGGACGGATGAGCCCCCATGGTCTTTATGGGGAGATGGACAAATGTGGCTGGCTCAGCCCGACAGGTGAGTTTGCAGGCAGGACATGTAGAACTGCCAGAGGCAAAGCAGGGAAGTGTGATATGGCTGCTGTCTGGTTGCATTTTTATTATTTATGAATCCATAAAATCCATTGATTTTATTTAATCCATGAATCATTTAAAAGACCCAGGAATCGTTTTCTTACCCCATAAATATGAAAAGCTTGATTTTTGAGATTTTTATTTGGCAGTCATGCCCTAAATCATGGCAGAGACAGAAGAGAGACAGGGCACAGAGCAGGGCTCACTGACTCTCCTGGCAACACCATGAAAAGTTGAAGCACCTCGCTGCTCCACGTCCTCACTGTCACGGATCTCTGGTGACACCTTCTCCCACTCTCAGCCAGGCTGCACCAACTCCTGGCTGCTTTCCTTTAATGACACACCTAAGTGAGATGAATCCAGGTCTTTACAAGTCCTTTTTCCAAGTGGCAGTGGTTATGCACAGTGCAATACAGTGGAAATCAAGACATATGCTCTTCCCCTTGCTTCAGCAATTGCTCACAGAGCCCTTGGATGAAGTGAAGCAAGAGAATAGCTTTAGGAGACACACACACACACACACACACACACACACACCCCTTGCATGGGCAGGAGGATCTCAAGTGATTTGCTGTCGTTGTGTTAATAATAATATCAGTATAAATGCATAAGTCTGCATGTATTTGCATATATGCATATGTGTGCATATGCACAGATAGTATTTGCATATGGAAATGGTACAGTGCCAAACTGACCAGAAAAGGCAACACAGCATATTTTACAAAATGAAAAAATGGGAAAATATAACCCCGTGATTTAATGCTCCCCCAGCTCTTAATTTATGTGAGTCATCCTGTCACTCCCTAATTACCCCGTTGACTTAAACAACCATCTGTACTGCCAGGCTGCAGGTCAGCTCAGGCTGCTGGGCCCTGGCTTGGGGGCTAAAATGCATTTTACTATTTGATCTTCCAAATAAATAAAAACATCCCATTTTGACTGATCATCACTATGACAGGGTTCAGAAGTTAATTCATTCTGACCGGTGTTTCAAAAAGGAAACTGGTTTGAAGGAACTGGCTTATTAAGGAAATTGGTTTGAAAAAAAATGAAGGAGGAAACTGTAAAACACAGGGAAATAGAGACAAGGAAAGGCAAGAAAAATCTTGGCTTTGGCTTGCCAAAATTGCTCGCTCTCAGCAATTATCACAGCTAACAAAGGATGGAGACTTGGTTCTCTCTGGTAAGATTGGGGGTTGCTGAGAGTAGGGACAGGGGTTGTACTTGTGCCCTGCCCCAGCCCCGGAGAAGATGCTGAGGTGGAACCTCCGAACCCCGCAGCAATGCCTGTACTGCTGGGGACACCTTGTGGTACACGGCTGGGAGAGAGTAACGCTGGGATTTAAGTGCCAGCAGGCTCCGTTTTCCCACTCTCACTCCGCTTTTCCCACTCCCAGAGTCTGCGGGGGCTCTCCAAACCGGGGGCGGCTGCCCACACTCATTTACGGACAGCACAAGAGGCAGGAGTGAGTTACTCATCCACCACTGACTGTAACTCCTGGCTAACAAAGCCCCAGGTGAGCTCTAAGGAGGAAAGGAAGGTGTTTTTAAAGAGCAGGGAAAGAAGGAGCACGAAGAATCGGCAGCTGGAGACCCACGGAATCATGAAATAGCCAACCATTCCGTTTTGCTAAATGTGGGGGGGTTTGCAATTTTACCAGACAATTTTTGGCTTCCTCCAGACCTGGAGCCCAATGCTATGACATACATGGAGGTGTTCTCAGCAATAACTACATTTTTGAAGAAGGTAGGTGGGAAAAAGCCCCTGGGGGAGCAGAACCAGGGGGTGCCAGTGGGAAGCTGGGGGTGAGCCCATGGAGCAGTGACAATGTCTGCACAGGCACAGCTTGGCATGAGAGATTTGGGCCATGTGCAGCAGAGATGTGCATGTGCAGAAAATAACCTGTCTCTTGGGGGTGACTGTGTCCTTTTAGCTGTTCCCTCCCCATCATTGTGTCCCTGACATGTTTGGGGTGCTGTGAGGTGGGAACTTGCAGTGGGTAAGTATCTTCCCTGTGTGTTTCTCCTGGTTAATTCCTGCAATTCTCTGTCTAGAAACAGAGAGGCTGCAAGTCTCGTTGGTCTTGGCAGTTTAGGGCTGGGAGGACTCATGAATACACCTGGGAGAGCACAGGGTATTTGGGAGTCCCTAAAATTCCTCAAGGGCTTTCTGGGCTTCTTGAGGACTCACTGCTGCAAGAGAGAGGCACAAGCAGCGCTCCCCTTTGCCCCTGCATGCTCTGCCTACACTGCAGGTGCTCTAGCAATAACAGGGAATTTTTTTACCCAGCTTTTATTTTAATAAATTTTGCACCAAAAAAGCCAAAAACCAACCAAACAAAAAAAAAACCCCAAAAAACTCCCCCAACCCACAAAACAACTGCTATTTTTCAAGTGATGCTACTGGCAAGGGCAGCAGATGCTGAATGGAAGCCTTGGAATCACACGTGCAAGGAGTTTGTCTGTCCTGCGTTTGCAGTTTCCGCTGCGTTGCCCATTGTGCCCGAGCACAATCACCACGGCCTGTTTTGGTTGAATCAGCAAGGAGGAGTTTCAGTGCTCGCTCTCCCACCAATAATCCCATTCTCCCAGGCAGCTGTCTTCTGCGAAATGAAAGTGCAGACATCTACAGAATTACCCCGCTGCCTGTTTGCAGAGTCTGCTGTTACCACGTTAATGAAGGCAGCTGAGATAATCACCTTAAAGCATAAATAAATCTCGGATGCTGATTCACTTTCTCCTATTTGAGACTCATTTACCAGAGTAATTCTTATTTTCTTTTCTCACTGCGGGCTTGTTGTGTCTGCCAAGACAGCCTTTTTTCCACAATTCATCTCCAGACAACTTAAATCAAGAAGCCTCTTGTTTAGATGTCGTTCTTCCTTCTCATTTTGCAGCTGTGTGTTGTATGGAGTCCATGAAGATCTAAGGCCAGTCCAGACAATTTTGTTTGATCTGCAGCCTCAGCCAGAGCTGTGTGGGTCGCTTAAACATGAAGACAAACACACACTTTTAGAGGATAACTTCTCTCAGTCCGAGACAGGTCACAGGAGACACCTTTTCCCCTTGTCTTGTCAGGCCCTGCCATGTTACAACCACTGAGCGAGCTTACACAGGTAGGTAAAATTTAAATTACATGCCTAACACTCAGATCATGTTAGGGGATCCCTCACTACACAAATGGTAAGTCAGATATTGTGAAGTTTTACAATATTCCACGTTTCCTTCAAGGCTCAGCCCCTGGAATCAGGTGAATTTGCATCTCGCTCACTTACTCCTCAGTAAATTCACACCTGGCATTTATGGTTGCAGCAAAAAAACCAAACCAACAAACAAAATTCAAGGATGTAGCTCAAGTTAGGTGTTCACAGGCTCAAAATTAAGAATATCAACCAGTTCTCACAGCAATTTTTATTTTTTTTTTCATTAAGTTCCCATGATTTTTTTCCCCAGGAGTGACTAATATCAGAACACCTGGTTCAGCTCCAGCGCCAGGACTGTGTGTGCCAGCTCTGACTGGCATCTCCCCAGCTCCTCTTATCCCATCCCACGCCCTGGGAAGCCCTGATCCCAGCGGGAGCTGGGGCACTGTGCTGTCACTGTGGGCATTAAAGGACTGGGAGAACTGGGCGATGAGCTGAAGCAGCAGGCGTGGAAACGCAGCCCCGTGCTGGGAACAGGCAATTAGGGCAGGGTGGAAGGGCACAGGGCTGGAGGAAACCAGCCACACTGGGACTGGGAGATGTTCCCAGGACAGATGGGACAGAAGGGACTCCCAGTCTGTGTCTGCTCCTGGTACGTTGCATTGGGTTTGCATGGCGAGGTTTTGGCAGAGGGGACGGGTAGGGGGTACAGGGGTGTGTTCTGTGAGAAGCTGCTGGCAGATTTCCCCATGTCCGACGGAGAATCCCACCGGGATCCATCCCTGCGGCTCCCGCACGGTCGCAGCCCCGCAGTGGTACAGCCCAATCCGCCCCCGCGCCGGCCCCTCCTGGTACGGCCCGCGCGGCGCCCCCCTCCGGGCACAGCAGTGGTGTGCTCCACGCGCCCCCCCCAGGCCGCGGCGGTGGTGCGCGCCGCGCGTGCGCAGTGGCGCGGCCGGCGCTCAGCTGGGCAGTGTTTACAGCCCCGAGCGCGCCGGCCTGGGGTGAGCCGAGCGGAGCCGAAAAGAGCCGAACCGAGCCGAGTGGAGCCGAACCGAACCGAACCGAAAAGAGCCGAACCGAACCGAACCGAACGGAGCCGAGCGGAACCGAACCGAACCGAAAAGACGCGAACCGAACCGAACGTAACGGAGCCGATCGGAGCCGAACCGAACCGAACGGAGCCGAGCGGAGCCGAACCGCGGCCGCTCAGGTGCCTCTTTTCTTATTAAATCAGTAAATAACCCCACCTTCGCTGTTCTTCCTGCAGCGCGTTATGGCAGAGCAGGGATTGCCCTGGAGACCTGCTGGGGCTGAGGAATTGCGTTTGTGCGCCCCGTGCATTGTTCGGAGCCGTCCCCCGAGCCCCCGCCGGTGTTTGTTTGCAGCGGGAGGGAGGGATCGCCCCAGTTCCAGGGTTTGCTTTCAGGTTGAACGCACCTGCTCACGTGGGGCCGGTCGCTTGGTTTGTTTTTCTGCTTTTGTTTGTTTTCTGCTGTTTGTTTGTTTGTTTCCTCTCCCGTTTGTTCGTTTTCTGCTTTCTGTTTCCTTGTTCTCTGTTTTGTTTTTCTTGAAGGGGGCGTTTCCCCGGGGGGTGTTTCAGCACCAAAACGCTGCTGGGTTTGGTGTCCGTGTTGTTGTAGGAGCAGCGAATTTTTGCGCAGTGAACTTTGTCCCTGGCTGGGATTTGTGGAAACCTCTTGGTTTTGCTTAAAAATTCCAGCTGGGGCTTGTTGTGGAGGGAGAGGGTTTTCTTTTGAAAAGTTTGTTAAAAATAAGCCCTACCCACAGTCTTGGTTCCCACAAAGTTAAAGAAATATATAGGATTACATTAAAAGGAATTCGAATGTCAGGAGTTCTGCACATAAAACAGTGATTTTATTGGAACTAAGTTAATGTCCAGTAAAACTGATTATTTTTTATGCCTGTCACAGCTCGGATGTTCCATTTCGTTAAAAAAACCGTTTCAGACAACAGTTGTTGTTGTGTTCCATGTTGTAGAACATGGAAAAACACTTGTTCATATAGCTGAGCTAAAACCAGGTCAGACCAGTTGCCCCAGTGGGGCTCACGTATATGAGGAGGAATTTATTGGGGATCCAAAGTGGAACACTGTTAAAGGCACAACTTTGTATTCTTAGTTTAAACCTAAAAATCAAGATTTTTTTTTTTAATGGCAGAAAGAGTAGCAGAAATAAGCAAGCCTAAGAAACAAAATATGTAGAGGAAACTCAAGGGAATCAATACCCTCAGAAAAGAGAGTGTTTTAATGTGGAATGTTACATAAAGTGAATTGAACAAAGATTCAGGTAACCCTACATGTGCAAATGCACAGAGGTTTTGAGTATGTAAGAAGAGGGGGGAAAAATAATTGGTAGATTAACCCACCTGAGCCTTCAACTTGATGTGTTTCCACTGTGAAGTAATAAAACACAATCATTTTTTGGAGAGAAAATGAAGGAGTCACTGTTGAAAGGAGAGGGGTGGCTTTTTATTTCAAGTTTTATTAATGGTCTTGAACTGGATTGATGTGTTTTGAGACATGAATGGATTAAAAACTGGCTCGAGGTCCCTGCCTAAGTATATCCTGTTTTGTGTGCCTCTCCAGGTAATCAGAATGGCATGTTATTTGAATAACTGTGAAATTTCCTTGGAGTCCTGCAGCTTTTCTTTGTTTCCTCTGAAAACGAAAGTCTATAATTTGCTCTTGCTGAATGTAACAAATAAACTCCCAGCAATTTTGCTGTAGGCAGATCTTCTGATCCCAGGAATGAACTCCAAAGCTGCTGCTTCTGTGGTTATTACTGTGAGCAGGGAAAGGCATTGTAAATAAATGCATTGAAAGAGTCATGTTGGGGTTTCTGGAAAGGATTTTTTTTTCTTAAGATATGAGAAAGGGGGAAGAGCTAGGTTAATTCTGAGTGATAAGTTCTTCTGTGTTCTTCTCCCCCTATACTTCTTCCTTTAAAACCTGTAGCTGTTTAACTACATGAAGCATTATAACCATGTGTAGTGTAATGCACGGTCAAGGAAAGCGTTTCCTTTCCTTACCCCACACCCACAAGCCTGAATAGGTCCATGATGGTGTCAGTGAAGTCAGAAGTGTTTGTAATTCAGAGATCTCTGTCACTCAGGAGTTACCAAATTGAAGGTGAGCTCATCTAGGGCTTAAGAGGACCTAAGAAATTCCACAGGCTGCAGTGGAAATTCTCTCTGCAGTTGCTGTATCATTAAGTGCTTTACTAATGGGGGTGGCTCAAGCTCTAGAGATGAGCTGTGTGAAAGTGCATTTATTTGCTAAAGTAAGCAAGGTTGATGCATCAGAATTGTTGGGCATTTTTAACCTCTGTGATATCAACGCCCTGATGCACGTTCAAAGAAAATGTAATTTGAGATTTTTTTGGATTTGCTGCCTGTGTCTTAGTCTCTTAATTGATGCTGTTAGAGATAGAAAGTCTGCTGGTGGCCAGAATTCTGACAGACAGTCAAACTTGCACTGTTGGTTGGGCTTGCAGTGAAAAATGACCTACGAACACAGGAGCTGGAATAATCCTTTATATAAAAGGGTTCAGTGGAAAAGCTGGTAAAACGTTGGGAGTGTTTGAAGACAGAACTTGCACATTGAAATTGCCTATTGTGATTTTCTTCTCCCCCCACCCCCCCACTAGTGTCAGGTACTGGATGCCAGATCTGCTGCATTTTGTTTTCCGTTGTTGGAATGGGGGCTGGGAGTGCTGCTGGTGATGTTTTTCCAGTGCTTGTGCTCCTTGGGAGTACAAAAAGGTCTCTCTCAAAGTACTTCACAGACAGCAGCATAATTTAGTGTTGAAGTGCACGTTCTGTTCCTCACCCTCCTTTATTCTTTTACTTTTAGTGTCTATAGGAGACTGCTGAAGATGGGAGGCGCAGTGAGTGCGGGAGAAGATAACGACGAATTAATTGATAACCTGAAGGAAGCACAATACATCAGGACAGAACTGGTGGAACAGGCCTTCCGAGCCATTGATCGAGCAGATTACTACCTGGAAGAGTTCAAAGACAATGCCTACAAGGACTTGGCATGGAAGCATGGGAATATTCATCTCTCAGCACCGTGCATTTACTCTGAGGTGATGGAAGCTTTGGATCTGCAACCAGGGCTGTCATTTCTGAATCTTGGCAGTGGCACTGGTTATCTGAGTTCTATGGTTGGACTCATCTTGGGTAAATACCTTTTCGATCACGTTAACTTGTTTGCGTTAGATTTTGAAAAACATGTTTTGAAATCTGGAATGAATCATCCCTCAAGTAATGGAACTAAAAGATAGCTGGGAAAGTAAAGAATGCGTTAATCCAGCTTGTTTATCAGGGTTCTTGCAACCTTCTCTCTGGAACCAGGTGGGATCCAGATTTCTGTGGCAGATCAGAACAGGCACAGATGTATTTCCAGAGGTGGCTGTAGGGGATTCCTGCAGGAACATGAACTTGGGTTAGTTTCCTCTTAAGGATGACCCCAGATCAGGAGTACAAAGCTGAAACCAGTATTAAGCATGTCCACAGAAAGCTGTGACTACACCTGCACTGGGCCTGTTTCTGTTCACACTGTGCTGTTTAGACTGAGACATGTTTGAGGTCCACTTTTGACACTCACTAGCAGACGGGTGGGAATATTCTCTGGAAAACACGGAGTGCAGCAAAACTGATTTTGTGACCGCGTCTACAGTGACACAAAGCAAATCACCCAAGTGCAGTTGTGCCCTTTCCATTCACCCTGGGGTGTCTCAGTCAGAGCTGTGCTGCCAGGATAGATAGCAAATGGCTGTAGGGTACAAACTTCCCTTTAGTGGGTGTCAAGAATTTTAACTGCTGAGATGTTTGTTCTCAGGGTAGAGTCTCGCTCCCATCTCCCATTTGTGGTTTTCTCCTAGTGTTGTTGAGATTACCAGGGATACCAATATGTAACTCCAGGGCTTTTGTATTCTTTTGAATTTTTTCAAAAATTACCCTGTCAGCTCTGAATAAAAAACACAAGTGCAGAACAACTTCTGTATCTCCCAGTTTATTTTTGCTGTTAATTGAAGTACAGTGGATGATGACTTTTCCTGATTCCTTGTCATATCAACAAGGGGGTATAAAAATAATATGAAATTTTTTAGGGATGTATTAAAACATGCAGGCAGTTGTTCTGCCTTGGAATTTTTTTTCCAGGTTTTGCAGCAACGGCAGCAGTGCTTCCCTGCTATGGAGAAGTTTCCTGCATAGTTGAGAGCAAATGAGTCAGAATCAATTGTGCAAGACAGGCTCATTTGCTACCAGAAATTGCAGGTATAGGGTTGCAATTCCCATTGTAGTGCTAAGAGAGCTGACCCTACACAAACACTGACTGTCTGACACTCACGGGAAAATCTGTTCCAGGAAGTAACCCAAACTGTATTAATCCTGCTGGATTTCGTGGTGTTGCCTGTTCCCTTTATCCTGGTGTTCCACATTTGCAGGTCCCTTTGGTGTTAACCACGGCGTGGAGCTTCACTCGGACGTGATCGAATACGCGAAGCAGAAATTGGACTTCTTCATTAAAACAAGCGACAGCTTCGACAAGTGAGAGCAAAATGCCTGTTGGGGTTAATTTTGTGCGTTTGGCTTTAGTCGTGGCAGTTCTTGGCTCCCGTGTGGCCCCTCTGGATTCAGGGTAATCTGAGGATTCGGGCTCCTTAGGCTTGCTGAGCTGCGGTGTGTGACCTTCGAAGCCCGTGTATTGTGGGGGAGTTTCTGAAGTGTTTGCTGTGTTTTCAATAGCCGTGCTGATGCTGCAGGGCTTAGAGGGAGCTGAGGAAGTTTGTTTGTTTTGAAATGCACTTGCAGTAACAGCTCGAAACTTGAAATTAACTATACTTGTTCTTTTTGTGGTCTGGGAGCGTGCACGGTGAGGAGGAGAATACGAACTGATTTCTGTGGTGGCCTAATATGTTTTATCAGAAAAGAAGAAAAATGACGTTTTAAAATAAGGAGGTAGTTTTAAGATGATTAAGTTGGTACTAAAACTGCTTGGGATTTGATTGATGTTCTTCCTTAGAACCTCCATTTTGCTGCTGTCACAAGTAATAACTTTCCAGCAAGATAACCACTGCCAATAGTAACCTCAGCAGTAAAAGTTGTAGCTGTCATATTTTTGGATCCATTGCACAGTTTGTTCAGACGGGGAAGCGAAGCATCTGTGGATACCTGATATCCTCCTCTCCTGGGAGGAAGAAAATTAAAGTCATTACATGCTGGATTTTAGACTACTCAGCCTTGTGCTGCTCCTGCTGTACTGGAAAGCTGCTGATGAGAGGGCTGTATTTTCTGGATGTTGGCAGCAGGCTGACGGTTTTTGGCGTGGATGGTGCTCGGCTGGGTGTTTTTTTTCAGAGTCACGTTGCTATTGTTTAAATAGATGTTTTAAGGAAGACTTTTTTTCTCTCTCCAGACAAATATAGCTATGGAGCAAAAGTGAGCTGAATTCAGGAATCATCATGACTGGAAAGTTGGCATTGCTGAGTGATGTCTGCTGGGTTGTGCTGTTGGAACACCGTGTGCAGGAACTGTTCACTGGCTGCTCTGAATGTCCAGCACGCTTTGCAAAACCAGAAAGCTTCAGGAAGTGTTTAGGAATAAATAGATGCTATATTGAGCTGCCACTCAAGATACCAGTAGAAGAATGGATGTGTTGTACAACTTCATAAATGTAGGGCTTAAAATTGATGTAGTTTTGGAGCGCGTAAGAAAAGCAGAAGCATCATAGAATCATTCATTTTTCTTTTACACTGAGTCAGAAATGCTGTAGGCAAAAGGTCCCTTTTTTTTGTGAAGGGTAAAATCACAGTTCTTTTGAAGCTAATGGCAAAACTTCCATTGGCTTCAGCAAAGCATAATTCTGTAGCATCAGGTGATAGTTCCCCACATCTCAAAGCCAGCTTTTGAAACTGCAACAATAAACCCAGGTGCAGTCCTTAAAAGACTTTTTTGTCTGCAATCAGAGGTCTAATATTTATATTTGCATATTATAACTGAGTCAGTATCAGGTGACTAAAAATAGCTTGTTCTGAAGAGTTCCCTGCATCTCAAGTATGAAATTATGCATCCTTATCCTTTGGAGAGTTTAATCCATGAATTCTGACCTCATTGTTCTGCGGTTTTGAGACTTCTAGCTCTGTTCTGTTACAATAATGTCTAGAATATGTGGGCTTTGGAGGAGAAATCCTGTAAAACTGAGGGTTTTTTCCAAGTGTCTTTTGTAGTTTAGTTTTTTCAGAATTTTGAAGATAATTCATTGGATAAATTGTATTATTCTTGTCTGATACAAGTTGTCTTCACTTTCAGATTTGAATTTTGTGAGCCATCCTTTGTTACTGGCAATTGTTTAGAGATTTCCCCGGACTGCACTCAGTATGACCGTGTTTACTGTGGTGCTGGAGTACAGAAGGAACACGAGGACTACATGAAGAACCTCTTGAAAGTTGGGGGAATTCTTGTCATGCCTCTGGAAGAGAAGGTTGAGTGCCTTTCTTCTCCTGTTTCTCTTTCAGTTATTCCTAATTCTAATCTTGATTTGGTCAATAGCTGTTCCTTTATCTTGCCCTTGTAGCAGGTTGAAGAAATCATTAAGTGCACTGGTTTTCACTATGAGTGGAAACTGAGCTCTGCACATTCATAATATTGAGGAAATTTATAGTTCTATCAATCTTTCACATATTGAAGTCTGTTGTTAATTGCAATTTTACTTTCATGCTGCAGAAAATGTATGCAAGGCTTTGTTCAATTACATAATCTAGTGTTGGGCTTGATGACAAAATACAACATTTTGCATATCCCAACTGGCTTGTGAAAGAGCCTGCAAGATGTCTCTATTTACAAGTGTCAATGGAGCCTTTTAGTAAAAAGTGGGCAAGAGCCCCATGTGTGAGCTCAAGATTGCAATTCAGTTTTATCTCTCTGGTGTAAAGATGTGTTGTTTTAATGGGCTGAGGTGTAGGTGTCTGACCTTTTCTCTCTGTCAGGGTACAGAGGAGCAGGGTGCAGGGTTCCTTCCCAGTACGATGGTGTGCAGTGAGTGCAGTGCAAGTGCAAGAAATTTGAGCTGGAACATAAATCCAGTGATCTGCAGACCTCTTCAGGAGTGAATGTTCATCGGTGACTGAGTTTTCTCAGGCATCAGACACAGCAGCTCTGGCCCAGAATGGAGGAAGGTCTGGGAAAGCAATGTCCCAAACTGCCAGTGCCCTTGCTCTGTTGCAAGAGTTACTTGGGGCTAATCCTGCAAGAAGTTCCTGTTTTTTATTTTTTTTTTTAAAAAACCCACCAGTGTTTCTCCTTATCACCTTTTACTGTTGTAGCTTCCAGTACTTTAACCACTTGTTCAGACAGAAAAGTCATTTGTTCATTTTTTTCTGTACAAAAATCTCACTGTAGTTCACACAATGGACAATAATCTCCTTGTTTTGGTTTAGTTGACTAAGATAACTCGTACTGGTCCTTCTGCCTGGGAGACCAAGAAGATTCTTGCTGTTTCTTTTGCTCCTTTGATTCAGCCAAACCACGCAGATTCAGGAAAATCAAGGCTTGTTCACTTGCGTGAGTACAGACATTCCTGAGCATGGGGGAGTTTCTTCTGCTGTTTGGCTGTGAGCTGTGTGACATCCCTGGGAATCCTTTCAAGGAAAATTACTCCAAGTGCTTCCTTTTTGTCTTGTGCAAGAATGGGAGTTGCATAAAATAGATTCTAAATTGTGGAGTCATAGAATGGCCTGGATAGGAAGGGACCTTAAAGATCATCTGGTTCCAAAGCCCTGCCATGAGCAGGGACACCTTCCACTAGGCCATCATTCCAAATACAAATGATTTCTTGTGAAATTGTACCTGAACTTTGAGGGATGTTTGGTTGTTGTTTTTGCACGTGCAGACAATTCAGTCCTGAATTATGTATTGTCGTGGTTCTCAATGGGAAATACACACTCAGGACCTGTGAATAAAATATCTACTCAAAGGCCCTCATCCCACAGCAATTCAGAATTATCCCGAAGCTGGAATGCTTGAGGAATACAAGTTGTGCACTTCTTGGTTGGCTTTTTGAAGTGCAGGTTGTATCAGTGGCCTCAATCTCTAGATTAGGATTTCAGGGTCGAGAAGCCTCTGAAGGCAGAGATACCTTCATAAAGAGATTAGTCAGGCTTTGGTCTTATTCTGGAAAGGTGTCTGCATGACAGAAAGGAGCTCGGGAAACAATCCATACTGTGCTGGAAAGTCCACTGAGTGCATGTTTCAGCATGTTTTGCGTGTAGGTTGCTTTATAGTGAGACCTGCACATATATTACATGTAAATTTTTTTCTGCTTCCTTCAGGTCCCAGGAAAGCTTAGTTGTTGGTAGAAGACAGGGATTTTTTGTTTCAGTTTTAGTTCATTTTAGTTCATGAATGTGTGTGTATTAATACATTTTTTTCTTTGTGCTCTATGAGTTATGTCATGTATTTATGGGCTGGCAGCAAATACGTGCAGAAGACAGGACAGTCTTCCAAACCATTACTGTGGGAGATATTTCAGTACAGTAACTTATTGTATGCTTCTATAATTTCTTCTACAAAATGGTTTCCATCCTGTCTTCTCCCACTAAGTAAGTCTGAAGCAGTTTTTGAAGAGCATAAATAGTACTTGTGTTTTATAAATACAGAACTTGGCAAAGCTGAAGTAACAGCCCAATAGAAAAATCATTTTATGGAAGAGTTAAATAAACTTCATGTCTAGTTATCTACAGTAGGAAAGTAGCTTTTTCTAAGTAATTAAACAGTCACAGTTCTGGTTGCTAAGTCTGCATTCTTATGATCTTTAAGATGTGTATCTTAAAATAATTGAGAACTTGAGATCAAAACAGGCAATTTTTTTAATGAGACAAATGCGCAATTAAATTTTGTTTGGAAAGTTGCAGTGCAGTTTATCTGAGTTGACAGGAGTTGAATAGAGCTGTTTGTGTAATCGCAGCAGGGATTTCAAATGGCCTGATTTAATTTGAGCAAACAGAACTTTTCCTGTGAGTGCTTTTGGGAGGGGTGGGGGGGCAGTTTTTCCGTGTCTGCTCACGGGTTTTGTTTCGTTCCAGCCCCCGTGGCCGTTCGCAGCCTGCAGGACCTGGCTCGCATCGCCATCCGAGGAACCATTAAGAAAATAATTCATCAGGAAGCGATGAGCAAAACTGGGAATGGGCTGAAGAACCCCCCGAGATTTAAACGGAGGCGTGTCCGTCGCCGGCGCATGGAGACCATTGTTTTCTTGGACAAAGAGGTCTTCGCCAGCCGGATCTCCAGCCCGTCAGATGATAACAACAACAGCGAGGACATGGAGGAGGAGAGGCAGGAAGAGGAAGAAACCAAACCCTCTGAACTAAAGCCAGACCCTCCTGTAAACTTTTTGAGAGAAAAGGTCTTGAGTCTGCCTTTGCCCGATCCCTTGAAGTATTACTTGCTTTATTACAGGGAGAAGTAGTTTCCTTCTTCTAGAGAGTGGGAATTAGGCAGAAAATAAAGTACTTCTTAGGGCTTGACAAATGTACACCACTTGCTTGCCTGCAAATGTGACCACGCAAGGCAGTAGGCTGGGGAATGTGGCTGCTGTAAACTTCAACATTATAGCTTTTTTGAGTTTCTTTGTCCTTCTCAGTTGTGTGCTATAGTTTTATCCTACAGCAGGGATTCCTTAGGAAGCAAGTCGGTGAAATGCTCAGCTGCTTGTGGAAAGGAGGATTTAATTCCCTTGAAACTAACTGCACAGAGATACTCTTAAAAATTTCATGGCTTCTCTGCTGAATGTCAGTTTTGAAAAACTCTTAAGCAGTTCCCCAAAGACCTTTCCTGTCTGTGCTCTCTCCCACTAAACCTGCCATGGGTTTGCCATGGTGTGTGTTTAATGGACAGTTAAGATTATCAGTAAAACCTGACCTGGCCAATCTAGTTTCTTCCAGTAATCTGAAAAAGCACAACTTTTACAGAAAGGAAAGAAATTTTTGGCATTACCCTTGTGGCATCCAGGTTTTGAATGAGAAGGAAAGCATCAGCTCCACTTTGGTTGCTCTGTTTTGCTTATAAACTCTATTTAATTTTTCAGTAAAAAGTAAAAGTGTTTTACAGAATACTGGTTTTCTTAATGGGAACCACCTGTTCTAGTGAATGAGTTGTTGGGGTTTTTTTGTGTTTTTTTTTATTTTTTTAAAGCGATGGAGGCAAAGTGAGGAATTGCAAAGCTTGCTTGACTTTGACAGGTTGCAGGGGTTGTCAGAGCTGGGACTGTGGTCTCTGGAAACATTTACAGAGTCATTCTGAATGGGGAAGAGGGTAGAGAGGAGCTGCAGAGCAGTGAGTTTGTGAAAACTGACTGTGAAAGCAGAATCTGTGGGGTTTTGCTGTCGTGTGAGATAAGTGTGGTCATCTGGGCTGAACAGAGTGAAGTGCAGAGCGCCAGCCTGAGAGGTAAATCAGCCCAATACAGTTTTCTGGAGGGTGTCTAGAACGTGGAAACAGTCTAGAAAGCCAGACTGGTGCAGTTTTTAGGTGTTCTGTGTATGCCCCTGCTGTGGCAAGGTGAGCTGACTGGAATACAGCTCGTGCACACGAGTTGCACGTGCGGTGTGTGCAACCAGGTTGCTCAGCTTGGTGCGTTATTTCATTCCTGCAACGACGAAGACGTGTTTTAACAGGCTCACGTGGAAGGACTTGACACTCTGCAGTTCTGTGGGTGTGAGCCCTGATTTTTGTTTGCAAGTCTTCCCGTTGTGGTGGTGGAAGGAGATACCGTGGAATTATAGAATCACAGAATGGTTTGGGTTGGAAGGGACCTTGAAGACCATCTCGTTCCAACCCCCTGTGGTGGTCAGGGGCACCTTCCACTAAACCAGGTTACTCAGATCCCCATCCAGCCTGGCCTTGAATAGTTCCAGGGATGGGGAGTCCACAGTGTCTGTGGACAAAAAAATACCATGTTTAGAAGAGTTTTACTTGGCTCAGCCTGTTTGAAAAATCTGCCTAAACTGGTAAAGGCTGGAAAGAAACTTGAGTTTGTGTTGATGTGAAATACTCCTAAAGCTGGGGGGGATGAAAGGCTCCCTCTCAGTAGGTGGTGCAGCTGTGTTAAGGCATTGCCCCATCTGAAGCACTAAAGTTGGTATCACTTTGGTATCTTTTTTTTTTTTTGTGTGTGTATGTGCTGTCTCCTCATTCTCTGAGGAGCAATGAAAGAAAGACTGTCTTGCCAAAAATACGCCGGGTTTTCGGTTAATGGTCCCAAGTTGCACAACTTGCTTCATGATAAATAGTGTTTCAAAGTTTTGTGTGGCTTTGAAAATAAATGGATAACTCTTGTATGCCTGAGCCCGAAGTGAAGAACTCTTCCTTGCTTCATAGGAGTTCTGTGTATCTTTGATAATATCATCTCCTAATACTGTATCTTGTGCCTGCGGGCACATAACACAGGCACAGGCTGTGTTTTGCCTCTGGTTTCCTAAGTCTCCACTTCTGGTCTAAATGGCACCCCAAATTAGCTTGCTCCCTCAGGTTTTTATTTCTGTAATTTAAGCAGGGCAGTTCTGTGGCCACTGAGCTGATGGTTTCCTGTAAACATGCACATACCCACCGTGTAATTCTGGCAACTGCAATGGATTTCTTCCCACAGATGAATATCCTGAATATGGTGGTAAAGAGAGGCTTAATCTACGTGTCATTATTCTCTGTGCTCCCCCAAAGGCTGTGGCCTCTGTATTTGTTAGATGTTTCTGCTTAATAGGTGTCATACCGGGTGCCTTTGTGTATTATGGCACAATTTCCACACCTCTCTGTAGTTCAGGGTGCCTCCTGCTTTTGGCTACCAGGTCATCCTTTGGTTTAATTATTAAACTTTTAAAGAGTTCCTTTAAAAATGACATTAAACTTCAGGTTCTTACTAGTAAGCCTTCCTGAGCTTCTGTTAGAGCTGACCAGTTGAGGGAGAATTATCTTTCATTTATCCCTGTTTGGTTTTTATTCCCCATCCCAACTGCAGTTGTAAAAGATAATTTATTGGATTTTTCACCAGATTTGCCTTTTTTATTACATTTGCTAGATTTTTGTAGCTTTCTATAAGATGCATAAATACTGCTATTTTTTTCCTGGATGAAGTTGAATAAATAAATATATATATACAGGAAATTTATGTTCTAAGTTGTCAAATTGTCCCCCTGTCCAAAAACACACAGGTCCAAACAAACATAGTAGAAATTTTATGTGTAATATAACTGTGAAATAGTATTGCTAATAGCCTGTAAATAAGGGGGAACTGTAAATACATTTTCCCTGTGCACAAGCACTTGCACTGTAGTTTTGTAGGCATTTCTAGTAGAGGAATTGTGTTAGAGCTGAGTTTGTATAGTCTGTAAGTTGTCTAGGAATTGTACCTGCTTTGTTTCCTTTTGTGTTCTAAGTAGTCATCACTTTTATTGTGACTCCTTTTAGGTTTCAGTCCTGCAGTAAATTTGGAAAAGAACTGAACTTCAGGCTGCTTTAATCATGAGTGTGTAAGTTGAAAAATCTCTGTATTGAAACTAGAGTTAAATTGGCCTGAGGCATGCAGAAGTGTTACACAATTTAAACTTTATTAATAAGTGTTTCTGTATCAATAAATTCAGTAAAGACTTTTTAGCCTTCTTAACATGGCTTTGCATCATGTTGTGATTAGAATACTTTGTAGATAAGTACTTATTTCCATAATTGAAGGGCAAAACACTAGAACACTAGAAAAAACGTTTGGTGCAGGTGCACAGTTTTAGATGAACTCCTCAGAATATAATCTCAAAAGAAACCTGCCCAGCTGATGAGTTCCAAACCTTTATGTAATGCAGTTGTGCAAGATGATTTTTGGAATCAGCACACACACAGCTGATCTGGACTTAGTGTATATCAGAACAGTTAAAGAGTGAATTCACTTACCTGGCTGATCAACCTGTGGACAACAGATACCCAGAGTTGATTCAGTTGATTTCTGTACTTCAAGGAATTGCCTAAACCAAACATGGCAGGAGTTTATTCCATGCATTCTGACCTGCAGCTCCCCTCTTGTCCCCTGGGCTCCGCTTCAGTGCTTAATTAATGCAGATTTTTGAGAGGTGTGTTCAAGGCTTTCATTTCTCTGGTACTGGGGATAATATTTTGGCTTCAGCTGTGGTAGGCAACTGATCATAACAGCAAATACAGCTGTTGCTAATTAAATGAATCTGTTAACCTTTATTCCATAGGATAATTGCCTGTCTGTGTGTTTCTTCCTGTCATCTGTGTGTATGATAAATGTCCTTTTACCAGCTATAACAGGAGATTAGTTCAACGTTAATGTTTTCCTTCACGTGATGCTTGCTGAAACAAAATCCTTTTCTGCTTTGGAAAGCCATGGATGTGTCATGGAAATGGTATTGAGGAAATTAAATTTGTCAGATAATGTTTATGTTCACTTCATTGCAAAACGTAAACCATCACAATTCCCTGGGATGTAGGGAGGGGGTAGGTCCCCTGAGGGAAGTCTTTCTACTGGGACAGAATTGATAGTTAAAACAAAGGTGGGGGGAGAGGGAGGGAGAAACACACCTGAGAGAAACCCCCAAACTTCCTTGCATTCTACAGGTCTGAAAAGCTTGTGTGGAAGAGGCTGGAAATGCTGGAGCATGGAACGTAAGGGTTAACTTTAATTCCAGTTGCTCAGGAGTTAATTTCTGGTTCTTGCTCAGAGCTGCAGACTCTTTTAAACAATTTTTCACGTTGATGGAAAATCAGATAAATTAATGTGAGAGTAAGGGGACTGGGATTGCTGGTGTTTCATAACATCCCACAATCATCCCATTTGTCGCGGAGGGGAGATAAGCAAAGTGGGAGAGGTAGGGTTCAAGTTCAAGGGAAGATCTGCTTCTAAGAAAATGTGGGGGTTGCACCACTTGCCTTTTTGCACTCGAATTATTCCCTGTGGCTGCTGTTAAATCTGCTGACTTGGCTGAAGATCCCATGCCTACAAAGTAGTGGGCAAATACCCATCAACCCTTCCTGCAGCTGCCCCCGTGGCACAGCCGGGCGCTGAAATACGATTCCAGACGGTACGTAAGGAAACCTGAGTGGGGCCTGGCCCAGCTCTCCTGCTGCAATAGAAATAAACCTAGAAGGGACTTTTTGTTGTTGTTGTTCTTGCAGAGGGGTGGTTTAGAGCTCAGAGTTTATGCACCAAGATGTAACGGAGGCAGGAGGCAAAAGCCCCGTATTTGCGAAGTGGCCGGGATGTGCCAGGGAAAATAATGAGTCCAAAATACTCGGGTGTGGTTTGGAGAGAGCAGTTTTGTTTATTTTCCTAGAAATAACTTCCTTACCGAGCAGCTCCCAAGTAGCTCTGCTACCCTGTCCTAACAGAGACCAGTGTAGTTTGGAAAGAGATGATGTGGGGAGCAATCAACAGAACTTTAGTCATGAAGACTTAAACATAACACGCGTTGTCTGATGCACATGGAGGATGTGCTTCTAATGCGCTTGACATCTCAAATTGGAAGTAAAAGCTGTCATATTCACACGGAGCACTCTGATCTCAGCTACCAGTTGTTGGGATAAAGGCTAAAGCTGATAGTTTGGCCTTTTACAACCCGTTTTTGGAAGGTTGGGTTGGGTGGCCGCTAGAGGACACTCTGCCCAAAACCATGAGTCGGGTCCACAGGGGGAGCAGATGAGTTCAGCAAACTTGCTTAGATTTCCAAGTGATGTCCAGGCAAACAAATAGCAGATTGCCTGAGGACTAGAGGCAGAAAACCTGCAGTATAATGCTCTTTTATAGCTGGAAAAAAAATAGTGATTTTACCTTCTATGACATGAAATTTTAGGTGAAACCCCAAACCCAACGCACTCCCCAAATGATCAAGTGACAGAGAATCTGAAGGGAGAAGAGAACCGGGAAGGTATAAATGTCAATTTTGTTAAGTACTTCTCTGTCACATTAATTATTTTTTAGATTACAGTCTAAAGCAGATGTGCAGGTTCATGGGAAACCTTCATTTGATTGTCCAGGTAATGTGGATGTGTTTGTACTTCCTCAAGTACCTTTATATCCTAATGTGTGTTAGTGCCTCCCTCATGCTAAACCCACACATTTAAGACCTTGTGTAGTAATAACTGCAAACCTAAAGACAAGCTGGTTTCAGTCCAAGCTTCTTTACAAAGGTGATTAATTCAGATGGGAACAAATCCTGCCTTTTGTGTCTCAATTTTATCATTCACTGGGAGAAACAAACAAAGGACTTAATTTCCTACAGTTCAAACTCGGTTGATTTCAGTGTTTCTTTCCCTTTTCACCCCTCAGTTGCCTTTAATGTCTCCAAAATCCTGACATTTTTCCAAATGGCATCCTTATAGAAAGAAATTGTATTTGGCAAAAGGTCTTTGAAATGAATCAGCTTTTACTCTGTGTAAGAAACTTTAGAGATTGCAGGATGGGGATTTGTCTTTATTTGCAGGTTATTTATCTCTGTGAGTGATCTCCCTTTTAAAATCACTTATCTGTAGCATTCCACACTCCCATCAGCGGTTGGAAACGTATTTTTGCTGGATGTTATAACTCCATGTAATAAGAGACAGCCTCTATCCTAAAAGTCTTAGTGCCCAACACATTTGACAGGCTGTTGGATAAGACACTCTCCTTAGTTTTCAGAGTGTGCTAAGGCAAAAAATTTGACATAAAAACCTTGACCCTGGATCTTTTGCATCCCAGCTCAGCTCTGGAAGCACGGGATCATTTTTTGGTCATTGTCCATGAAGGTGCATTCTGCTGTCAGACAAATGCCCCAGGAGGAGGGTGAGGAGTTAACTTGCTGTTCGAAAGAAGCACCAAGGCGAAAATAAATCAAAATTAAGAGTTTATATTTCAGCGCCACAATTAAAGAGGGGTGGGGACAGTCTGATCTTCAGTGATGTGCATAATGGCAGAGGGGGTGGGCGGTTGGACTGTCAAACTGCCTTAATTTAATTGCAAACACATGCTGATGAGTCCCCTCCTCCTGGACCTCAGGGCTGGGAAACTTTTTTTTTTTTGTCAGCTCCCTGCAGTTCAGAATTGAGGCAAATGCACTCCAGCAAACACCATGCTCATCAAACCTTCAGCTCTTGGAGGCTTTTTGTGTTTTCTCCTCTTGCCTGGTTTCTCCTGCTCCTGCCCCAGTCGCTGCCTGTGCTTCAGGACCACGGTGCGATGCATGCATCTGATGTTGGAAACCATCCCCGAGATCCCGCCCCAGACAAACATTCTGTGAGTAACCACTTCATTTTACTGCCTTTCTCTACCTGCTTGGTCTTTAGAAAGAAGGGAAAAAAAAAAAAAAAAA